ACGTGACTTGTAACATAGTTCTTCCGTTCCTGAGTGAATCCCTGTTGTTCCCGTGATCCTGCAGGACAAATGTCCTGTCCTAGCCGCTCGACGCCCAAGTGGGTCGGTTAGCTGTTATCCTTGCATAACGGGTCGTAACACGCATAGCCTCAATCTCCTCAGGGCCACTTGCGCAAAACCTTTGGTTAAGAAACGTTGCCGAGGAGCGTGAACAAAGATAAAACCCATCCACCATACAGTCCCCTAAGTCTATTGCATCTAACCTGAGGCCATGCTGGAGACTTCCGAGGAGCGAGGACCACGTCTTTCGCCCCCCTCCAGTGACATCAACGGACTCGAGAACAAGCTCCCGAAGCGTGTCCCGATGCCCCTCTAGCAACATTATGAGCTCGTCCTTAGTGCAGTCGACGAATTCGATACACAGGCTCTGTAGGCCGGGAATTCGAAGATCCTCGGAAAGCTTCGGAAATTGCCGCCTTTCGTCGCGGGGATTGAAGTGTAATGTGAAGTTGGTCAGCGCGGGAAAAAGATGGAGGAAGCCGCAGAACTCTGGACACCAATCGGAATTCGCAGTCTGGATTGGGTCGGTGTTCGAAACCAGTTTCTTCACATCCTCATCAAACGTGTTCTCGTGGCTGTTTGGGTTGACCACAAGTAGCAGAGTTTTTATGGCAGCAAGCCGATTCCTCATAATGTCTGCAGACACAGGGATCGTTGATAGCATGCGTGGGGTGACAGAGGTACAGCCCGTCTTTAGATCGCCAAACTGAATATAGAGTCTCTCTACAGCATGGCGACTAGAAAGCAGTCCTATGAACAGGGTTCTGATCAACGTGGTGGCAAAGACCATACTCTGGGCTTGGAAAGGAGTGACGAAGCGGTTAGGAAACGTGCCAATGCGGCGACCAAGTCGACGACTCCCCCAGGGACGGACGCCATCGTCAATGCCGACAGCTTTGCAATGAGGGAGGTTGGATAGTGCTTCGACCAAGTCCTTGATCCAATCTCCCTTTGTCAGAAGGAAGTCCCTGTAGCTACCCCAGTCGGCCCTATACCTCTCAATAACAGCCTCGTAACTGTCATCGCCAAGTGACAAAGCCTCACCGTCGCTGAGCCTGATGCAATCATATTCATCGTTAATCCCACACATCTCATAGTCCGCTCGGCTCATGTAATCCGGAGGCGCGACCAGGTGATCCGTGGTGAGTTCGACGACTTGCACTGCGTAACGCAGAACCGAATGGCGAGAAATCTGGACCAGATTCTGGAGGCTCTGACGTTCAAGCATAACATGGCGTGTGCGAAAGAAACGGTCCTGAAAAGGTCCAGATGTCTTATCAGCTAGAGCCCGGCACGCGGAGCGTAAGCTTAGCAGATCAGACGACCCAAGGTGTTGCAATATACACCCAACAGTCTCTGCAGGAAGAGTTGTGAGTCGGCCTTGCGCCATTCTGAGATGGACTGTTGAGGTGAATGGGAACTGGGGTTGTGAAGTTGAAGCCGTGTCGCTAGACATGCCTAAGCGCCGGGGTGGAGACCCCCGCATGGGAGGATGACTAAGAGATGCTGCTATCAGGCTGTACATACGCTTCATATGTAACGTAATTAGCAGCAAAAGTAGGCTAGAAAGTAACCCACATAATATTTGCAGCGTTTATCGCAAAGGATAACTATATATAAACACAGCTATATAAGGAACCTATATCACGTTGTTATACAAAAGAAGAATGTTTCCCCGAAACAGGTTCCCTCATACTATGGTCAGGTTAGCTGATTTGCACTCGAAATAACTGGTATCTTATCGTCACGTGCCCCACATCGCGGTCCTCCAACGACGCCAGGGGTGAGCCAGCCCCCGTCATTCCCGCGATCCTGCAGTATACATATTCCGTCCCAGCCGCGCCCAACGCCCAGGCAAGAAGCTGAACCGCCGTCGTTATTACATGCATAGCAACCTGCCTCACTATGCCCACTCAGGCGGACTCTTACTATAAACAGATGATTAAGAGCATCTCGGACACGCGGGAACAGCTGCCAACCAGCCCTCAGACCGGCTCACCTAACGCAGTAACCGCACCCCAGGAGGACACTACTATAAGTGAGGCCGTTCGGCCACCACCCCCGCAACAACTACCAGAGGATGCTCTAAGTAGGCTGCGCCATCAGAGGGGGAGCTCAGCGCTCCCCACATCCCCAAACACAAGGTGCGGCCCGCAACAGTCGCTCCTGAGTTCGAAGCAGCGTCGGGCTGCGCAGCGGCGCGACGCCGAGCGGCGGGCAGCAGAGCGACAGGCGCGTCTCCAGATACCTACCGGAGGCACCTCTCCAACAGCAGGGACAGCCAGGGCCTATCCCAACGCAGCATTGCGGCCCAGGGAACAGATCTCAGACCCAGCCGAAATATATAGGCGTCTGTCAGCTATCGCCGTCTACTCACCCCCGACCCCAATAGGCTTGCCTGAGCGCCGTGGGCATACTGCATCCGACCCACTGATCTGCGACCTCAGAGCCCGGCTGCGGAGCAGGGATGTCGGCTGTGCGCTCTGTGCCTTTTATGAATGGGGGCCGATAGTAGAGACGCACAAGCTGAAGAGGTGCTCGCATCGGGCGGAATCGTCGGAAGCCCAGAGCTGGCTAACAATGTTCCGAACATACCGAGCTAGCGGCGGCGGGACGGGGGCGCGGTGCCACGTGTGCCGGTTCCCGCTGACGCTCTGCTGGCGGACAGCCTACCGGGAACAGATGAACCCCACCAGTCGGCTGAAAGCACGGTCAGCGCCAGCAGCGTCCCGTGGCACGGGACGCTGATCGCCAAGACCGTCCATATATAGGAAAGACCCCGCGGCGGAGATTTCTGCACTTCCCATTGGATCTTGTGATGGATCTGGTGGAAATCTTGAGCTTTCAGCCAGCGGGAGAGCCAGCCTGCTATCTCTGTGGTCTTGATACCCTCCGTCAGGTTGTAAAGCTCGAAGTTCGGTTGCTTCTTCGTGAACTGGTTGCTTGCGAGGACAAAGGCGCCAGGTAGTGGTAAGATACGGGTTCAGGAAAACTGAGCGTGTGACGATAGTCGTAGCAGCTTTGAGTTCATTGCTCGACACGCCTCTTGTTGTGATCGCTGCAGCATCTTCTTATCGAGAGCAGTACTTGCAATACATGGTCAACACGTAAAGCCGGTCTAGCGTGGACAGCAGCCACGTAGCGCACAGATCCAGCTTGCTCCTCGATTAGCAGCAGCGCCATTGGAAACAATGACCTCTACCTGGCCATCTTCAGCGAGCTCGCACACATGACCATATGACTGATCCAACTCCCGAGTTATGTTGTACCCGTGATGACCTGGAACCAATGTGGCATCTCCAGGTGGTCATTGGTCCGGTGTGTCCATGGCTTCGACAGCTCCGCGAACGAAATCAAAGCGCGTCGCATGGTCTACGAACAGCAACGTGATTGTCGCCGACGACGAGTTCCATCCGTATGGTCCGCGCAGACTCCCGCCTATTCAACATCGTGGCCTCTGTACCGCCCCGGCGCCGGCAGTAATTGACCAAGGGCGTTTTTCGGGATGCATCAAAACCCCAGAACCAGGCGGCGAGGCGGTATTGGGAGATGAGAAACAGTCCGTTCAGACAATTTCCGTTGCTGAAACCGCGAAAGCAACGGGAAAAGAAGCTTCTGAGTATCATCGAACCCGAGATGCAGCTATCACTGTGCTCAACTGCGCTTCAGGCTCGCCTTAATCTCGCGCTTGGGGTCATGTCGAGTGATGTAATCGACAAGAAGCACTGGATTCATCCTGCGAACCTTGGCGGCGGGTTCCCATGTTGTTTCGGCGTCGGACGGCGGATACCCGACCCACTGTATCTTCAGCATCGAGTCCGCATCGTGGGCGAGGATGTTCAGGATGTGGTAGAAGTCGGAACCAACGGTGACTTGTCTGGGCTGGCCAAAGGACGCCCAGTAGTTATAGAGCTTTTCTGGCGATCTGTGCTGGATGAGAGATTCGGGGACGAGCCGGGTGGTCTCGTATAGATCGCTTGCGCGGTGCGTGAGGAGGAGTACGGATTTCGTGGGAGGGTCGAATCGCCAACCGACAATGTCGTCGGTCTCGGAAAAGTCTGGTTGATGAGTGCGGGTAGTTGGGTTTGCATGAGAAGTTCTGGGTCGGTGATGTGCGAACCTGTTGACTCAGAGAGGGCCAAGGAGTCGTAGATGGCACCGTCTGCTATCCGTGATTTTGAACCGGACTTCTTGGTTGCAGGCTTTCGTGACCGACTGTTTGCTACGTGCTGAATGCGTCGGTTTGCTGCTGCGCTGCAAGTTTGAGACTTGGTTGATGTTGTTGTTGTTGTTGTTGCTGCTGCTGCCCTGTCCCTGGTTCTGGGACTCTTTCTCAATGGTGTGGTGATGTCGCCCGAGAATTTCGGCGTAGCCCTGGACACAGGTGCGCTCTTCACCGGGGTACTCTTGGTCGATGTCGTCGTCTTGAGCGTTGGAGTGCTCCTGGTGGACCTGACCGAAGAGCTATCTCGGCGCGAGTACGTTCGCAAAGAACGCCGGCGCTTGGGGGTGATGACCGAGGCCATTGGGTGCGGATTCGTGGTGGGGATTCGTGACGATGCGACACGATGGCAGAATAACTCGGCGGCATCAGAAACTTTCGCCCAAATCTCCCTTATCTCCGCGGTGATAAGATAGCGTGCGAAATGAGCACGCATGACGTCATAGCAGCTTTCATTCCAACTGTCAGAATGGCCCGGTGCTCCATATGCACTGGTCCCGAGCTCGGGATGTTCACCAGCATCTTCAAAGGTACCTTGCTGTTGGAGGAATTCCAATTAACGCTTACCACCGCAAGGAACAGCTGACACGGTCTTTTGGTAAGAAAAACCCCAGTAGGTCCATTGGGTTCCTATGAATTCCAATCATCACGCAGACCACCAATGTTGGCCGACGCTCTGCTGCAACGAAGAACGTAACTGGCTTGCGTGCGTCAGAAGCCCGTTCAGCCTCTGGTAATTACCTGGGAGCACTATTCCGTCGAGTGCCGCCGCACACTACTGCAGTATACAAGATAGCCCTAGGTTTCTTCAAATCAACTCAACCACAAAATTCCCCATTGGCTGACGACAAGACGTCCTATCACGCGATTAGAAAGATCTCCGCACGGTCAGTACTGCAGTCCAGTGGCACTCGATGAGATAACGGACGAGGAAGAACAAAAGACAGGCGAAAGACGGAGGCGGACGTTACGTGTCATGATGATGATGATGATGTATTTAACGTCCGTGGTAAAGAGGGACGTGCCGGGCAAAGCCGACATGGTCTATGCTAATCTAAACTATTTTACAGGGTATCGTCTTCACCTAACGTTCTTGTTTAACGAGTCGGGCAGATTTCAGTAAAGAAGTTGGTCTCCTCCATCCATTCGCATAGAAGAGAGGCTCCCTTTGCTGTGCCTACACTTCCCTCCTACATACCACCCCACCGGCACCCACTGTTAGTGCCGCGCTGGGACTGCCACCCTAGCACTAACACCACCAAACCCACCCCCCACGACCAGAACCCTCGCCCGCGATGGCCTCACAGCCAGCCGCGGGCCC